TGGTTACAACTTAAATGACTATATATATTGTGGATAGCATATTGGGCCACTAGAATCCATTTTATGTTTTCAGACAAAATCACAGGTCCCTAGTGGAGCAGGTTAGTAGGGGTATCCACTTGATTTTTCCAGATTTAACAAGCGATCAACATCATATTAAATTAAAAATAAAGTCTACATTCAAACACTACACAATGAACATTCACTTGATAATAATAATTGAAATTTGGGAACATCTGGTTCAAAATTAGAATGATTTGGTACATTTATTAGATTTCTCCCCGTGCAATCTATTGCATCTAGAGAAATCGAAAGATTCCCGAGAACAAAGTTGTTAAACTAAACGAGTCGTCGCTCGTGACCTCGGCTCGACTCGACTCGACTCATTAGTTATCGGGTTTAGCTCGACTTATTTATGAAACGAGCCAAGTTGGAGCTCACTTATAATTCATTTCGTTAACAAGTTAGGCTCGGGTCAACATGATAAGACTCGGAAAGAGAATTTTTATATATAATTTTCTATAGCTCGACATGTTAAAACTTGAAATTGATTCGTTTATACTCGAACTCGACTTGTTAATATTGATAAATGAGCCAAACTCGAGCATCGTGAGATCAAGCTCGGCTCGTCTCGTTGACAGTCTTGCCAGAGAAAGATAGAAAGAGGCAAGCACATGAAAGAGAAATAGAAAGAGAAAGAGAAAGAGAGAAAGACTGTACAAGTACAACAGTAAAGTGTTTCTCTTTATACTTGGTAAAATGAGACTAGAGTTGCTAAATATCAATTAGTAACTTTACAATAGAATGGCAACTATAATGCAAAACGTGAAATATTTATACAATCTATTTATACAGAGCCGACCCTGGGCAGGGCCAGCGGGGCGACCGCCCAGGGCCCAAAACTTCTAAAGGCTCCAACTATTAGAATTTTTTAAAAAAACCAAAAAAAAAAATATATTTTAGTATAATTGATTATTAAAACGAGGTAATTTTTTTCCTTAACTTTCATAAAACTAAATATAGTTTTCTTTTTGTATGTGAAATTCTAATGATGAAATTAGTTTATAATAATTGATAATTAAGTTAATATCTTATATATTTTTTTCTCTCATTTTTTCATACGATCAATAAAGATATTTTTTAACTTCTTACTTGAATGTGCAAAATATTACTTATGAGCATATAACTCAATCATTATTATGGGGCATCCAGCTATCCATTTTAAATGTGAGTTTCAATTTGTTGTTTATTTGCTTATTATATATATATATATATATATATATATTTTAAAAAATAATATTATTTTGTATTTTAAAAATAAAAGAGTTGATTATTCGAAATCCAATATTATTTAAAATATGGTTATAGTGAAAAAAAAATTAAAACCTTGTTTATATTTTGTCATCTTTTATCTTATAAAGGACTAAACATGATTTATCCTTTACTTATTGTCAATTTTTTACATAAAATTTTATAATTTTGCTAAAATCTTAATTATTTTTTTTTTTTTAAATATGATAAATTGTTTA